TTTTTGGTTGATCTTTACCCAGGAAACACATCGGCTAAACCGTGAGGGAAACGGTCACTGGGAGAGACTAGTATATATTCCATTGAGGGAAAGTAACTTTAACATAAAATAGGCCTTTCTCAACAGGCGGTAGACTTTCTCAGTCTATAATCAGACATTTAAGCCCCCCTCCCCCCATAGCTCTGCGCCTGCCCAGATTGCACATGATGGCAATTCAACATTGAATTAACATCTTTTGCCAACAGCGAAGTGGCTGTGTGTTTGGGACATCCCACTCATGTAAATGGCAGGGGTGGACCCCTCCACTCCTTGTAGTAAGTTGTAGATGTTTTTGTGTCAATATATCACACATACACAGTCAGTGAGAATTGTTATGAACAAGTAAGAAAATGTACAGAAATGAATCACCACTGACTATCCTCTGCAGTGGTTAATTTAAATGTGATAACCCCCGCTCAGTAATAAAATACTCTGACCCAGAGCTCTGATGAGGAGGAGAGGAGAGGAAGGGGTGCGGCAAAAGACCTGACATTGATTCAACATTGATTCAACATTGATTCAACATTGATCAGTCGTTGATCAGACATTAGCATTTCATTCATTAGATTTCAACAACAAAACAATATTGAATCAATGACACAGTTTCAACATTGGTTACTTGGCTGGAGGTGGATGGTTGATCAACCGTCAGTTGTTGACCTCAACCAAAAATCAACCATTCTGACTATAATTCAATGTTGATTTACCATTGTGTGCAATCTGGGCAGTTTGTTGCATCCCTCATCACCTCCTCATCTCCCCCTACTCCCTCCCAAACCTCCCCCACCCAGCCGCTCCTCCCAACCTTCTCCTCTTCACCCCCTCTCATCCCTTCTTCCCTCCCCCTCCTTGAGCTCTGGGTCAGAACATTTTATTACTAGGTGGGGGTTAATCATGTTTCAAATTAAGCACTACATGTTGAGAACAGTGGGTTGTGATTCCTTTCTGTACATTTTCTTACTTGTCTGTAAATATTATTACTGACTGTGCATAATGTGTTGACACAAAAACATCTACAAGTCTCTACTAGGAGTTGTACAGTCCACCTCCCCGTTTTTACACTAGTGGTTTGTCCCAACCAAACAGCCACTTTGCTGCTGGCTTGTTTGCAACTGGCTTCTGAATTGAATTCTCCTCTGAGCAGTTTTATGGTAAGTTTTTCAATATTACTTTGATCTTAAATGTGTTTATTGAAAAATAAGGGCATTGTTTTGTGCCCATAGTAATCCTGATTATTTTGGGGCAAAAAAGACATTTTTAATAATTGAGGTCATGTCTCCTTTTGTATTATTTTCATCCTACCCACCACTCCAGGCCTAAGTATGAAATCCTGCGAGATTTTGTGGGATTTGAATTTTTAAAATAGGGCGGGGCCTATTGTTTGGTCTGGGAGAGCATGTGGTGGACAAGGAAGTGTAAGGCTGGCTGCTCCAGGTGGGCTTTAAATTGTTGTGATAGTAATCACTTGTTTTTAACTTTTTATTATGATGTGCTTAGGGACGAGCCTCTGTTCCAGAACAGCTGAGTTAGATGACTGCATGACCGTCTGCAGCCATCAAGAAGTGCAGAAGGTTGTTAATCATCCACAGATTCAATCCAGGTGAGGAAGAAGGGAAAGACTTAACATGTAAGGCAGGTGAAACACTGAACTAAACCTGCTAATGACTGATTTAGTCTGTTGATTCTTGGATTGGTAACTGGTTAAATTGAACTGGACTATTGTTACTTGTGTGGGATCTTTATTAGCATATAGACACTTTTAATAATCAACTTATTTGGAAATATTTGTAGTTGATGGAAGATTGAGCCAGTTATTTGATGGAAGTTTATTCTGCATAAATTATATATAATTTTTCCAACTACAGTATAAATCACCTTTTGTTCTATTCATTTGTCTCTGGTGTGTTAAATAAACCTGATCCTCCCTGAGTTTTATCCTTAGATAAACAGCCCTTTATTTTAAATATTGATTTAATATCAATATCATATATCCTACACTATACTGCAGCTTGATGGGTAAATGTAGTTGTATACGTAAATATTAAGATACATATTTAACAGTGAGTGTACATGGGGAACTATATGGGTTGTATTTGTTCTCAGACCTGTAACCAGTACAGTTTTTAATCTTTCATTGTGTTTCAGAACTTTTCAAATGTTTATCATCTTTCTAACCGGCACCTTTATTTTTTTCAGCTGTTGCTCTGCAGTTTGACCGAAAGCTGACTCTTGAGGACTGCAGCAAAATTGTCAAGAAGTGGCTTCATTACGCACCAGAACGAGAGGAAGACATCACAAGGAATCAAAGTGACGCCAACCAGAGTCAAACTGGGGTTATGGCAACTTGTACTGTTTCCCTGGTTCATACAGTACGAAGCTTGACTTCATGGACTCTGTTCTTCTGTGGACAACATACGGTTGTTTTGACAGTCAAAAAGGAATCAAATATGTTTAAAGA